GGAAGATGCCAAGGCACTGTGACGTACTGCCACTAATCTATATCAACATTGATGCATGCCCAATGTACTAATCTCAGTTCTAGACAAAGTATATTTAGATTTACTCATAAGGAGTATGTGTATTTGGAATTTGGGTATGTGCTTAATGACATGTATTTATGTGGTTACTTTGATGCTTTGATTGATGGCGTTTGCTGAATGAAGCTAAGATTCTGGATGCACCTAATATGAGGGATAAATTTAGTATGAACATCATTGACTGGGCGAAAAGTAACATTCTTGCAATTGCTTTGGGTCCAGAGTTGTATCTTTGGAAATCAAAGAATGGAGAGGTACAAATGTTGTTGGAATCCTTTGGGGACAATGATTGTCCTACGAGTTTGACCTGCTTTTATGCTACTACAATTCTTGTTGTTGGATATATGGACTCCAAACTTCAACTCTGGTATGTTCAGGCTTCAAAACTCTTAAACAGCTTCATGATCATGATCAATTACTCCAGGACTCATAATAAGTTAATTTTAAACATAATTTTATATTTCGTGAATGGAGGTTAGGAATCTGGATGGTCCTCACAGAAAAGTAACAACTTATCATGGAGCGACCTGAATGGTCAAATTTATACTCTAATTGTCAATCATTCATATTCTAACTTTTATATTCTTACCACGCTCTTATTTCGCAAGTGAGAGTGTATAAAAGCACACGCTGAAGAAGTATGTGGACTGAAATGGTCTACTGAAGGCAATCGACTGGCAAGAAGTGGTAATGATAAGCTTGTATACGGGAGCCTTCCAAATGAGTTAAAGCGAATTCTTTTAAGGATTTATTTCAGGTTGGGATGCAGTCAAGGCCCTTGCATGGTCCCTTATTAAGCTAATGCACTTGCCTCTGGGGGAGGCACAGAAGATGAATTTGTTAAAGATATGAAATTTACTAAGGGACATGCATCAGTAGTGATACTGGAACACAGGCCAGTGAAATGGTTTCACTCTTTCTTATGAGTTTTCTATAGAAACTACGACAAAAGAGACATTAATTTCCTGTTGCTCATCAACATCTATACTTGTTCGATGTATGGTATTCGCTTTGTTTATGGCAATTTGATGTTTTATGTTTTACATGTGCAAATATATGGACTGGAGTGGAACAGGCATCACAAGAAGATACTAAGTGGATGTGGCTTGAGTTGCAGAGGAACGAAAACAAGCTATGCTTGTGGAAGTACCCTTCCATGACTAAAGTTGGAGAACTTAAAAGAGTCCTTGAGCAATTTCCCAGGTTTGACTATTTGACAAACTTTAGTTTAGATCCCGCTATATATATTGTATTCTTAAATAAATATAACAGCTACCCAAATCAATGTTTTGTAGAGCCCTGATGGTCTAACGGTGTATCAAGCTATCAGCTGCGACGGATGAGACCTTTTCCTTCTAGAAGATTTTCAAATTGAACCACGAAGATTCAAATGTTTCATATTTTGACAGTCATCTATCTCGAAGGACAACCAGAAGATTCAAATTATTTAATAACCATACTCCATAATTCGCTTTCATTTATTAATTTTCATTATTTGAGAACTATTGAAAACGTTATTTGTTTACGTTTTCTTGCCCACCGTACTTAATAGTTTTTAGAATATTTTCCACCTCTCAATTTTATTACTTATATCAAATGGATCAAAAAGTCAACTTCGTTATCGACATCCGTCATTTTTAGTGGGAAAGTTGTGGAAATGATAGAACTTACAAATCTTTTACCAATTCTTGCCATTGTTCCTTGAAGTATTATAAACTTTATTTATTGGAATTTATTATGGTATGCACTGAATATAAAATACTCCTACCGTCTATTCCAATGCAAATGAGAGACCAAATATTATCACGCTCAATATAGGGGGAACGACTTACACATACCCAAAGTTTGTTGTAAAGAAAAAGTGGTACCCAAAAGATTTGGAAATAACAAACACCCACTTTCCATCATGTTCTGTTTGGAATTTCCGTCTGCTAAAAGACAAAAATGGTGAAAAGACTGGAATACCCACCGATCTTCATTCCCAACGCACGCCAGCAAGGGCCAGTGCCACTGTTTATCACCAAACTTCGCAGAAAAATGCTAAATCCGGTCAAAAAATTGATCAATGACACAAGAGGGTTGTGCAAACGGGCTTGGGGTGAGAATGAAATTACTATATTGTCTTTTAGCAGACAAAATTCCCTAACAGAATATGACAAAAAGTATTTGTTTGTTATTTCCAAACCTTTTGGGTATCAGTCTGTCTTGTTGAAATGTGAAGCTAAAATGTAGCGTATCAATGTAAGTGAAATGCTGCAGTTTTAATGTTAACATGTGAAGCCAAAAAACGCAGCGTATCAATGTAAGTGAACTGTTGCAGATTCAAGTCATCCTGCAATCTTGACTGCAGATTAGAGGCACATCTAAGGGCTAGTATTTCTCCTAAAAGTCAAGGTATAAAAGAAGCAGCTCTCCATTTTAACGCTACAGTACATAACATCACAATAGAGCTCTCTTCTTCTTCGACTCTGTATTTTCACTTTGCTAGGGCTGTTTCAGTTTATTCCAATTCTTGTAATCTTTGTACAATCATTTAGATTGATTAGTGAAGGTGGTGTTTCCTTCATTGGTAGAGAAGCTTAGGAAGTCTTTCTCTTGAGTTTGAAGGTTATGGTAAAAGAGTTGTGTTAGATTAGCAAAGTAAGTTGGGTTGTGTTTGAGATTCTGAAAGTGTACTCTGTAAATGGTATTAATCTTCTTAGTGCAGCAAGCCTTGGTGTTTCAGAGCTCAATGTGGATGTAGCTTGCTCAAATCTAGAGAAGTGAACCACGGTAAAATCTTTTGTGTGTGTTTGGTTGTTTCTTGATTCCTTGTGTGATTGATTGGTAGATTGGTGTTTAGTGTAGTCTCAAATCCTTACATGTCTTTATGCTAAACTTTGGGTTGGTGGAAGTCAATCGGCCCCAGGGCCGGCTTAAGGGGTAGGCAAGTAAGGCACCTGCCTAGGGCCCCCAAAAAATGGGGCCAAAAGCTCAAATTTATTATAAACTTTTTACATATATTCCCACCCAAAGTTTGATAAAATAGCAAGTTTGTACCTCTAGTTTCATATATTCCAGTTTATACCCCTAAATCAACACATTGAATCTCTTTTAACAATGAAAGGCTAAAATAGTAATTTACATATCTCAAATTACTCATCCCCAATTCAATCCCAAAATTTGACATTCACATAAATCATCTCTAGCCCTCTTCTTCTGCCAGTGGTTTGGAGTTGATTTCGGTCGATTTTCTCACTAAAATCGATCGAGATCATCATTTTATCATTTCCCAACCTTGATAGCCCTCGATTTGCTAATTTTTGATGAATCGCGCAACCTAACTCCACCACACGATAGCCATTTCCAGCCTTTTCGACATGTGCCCAACATTATTGGCCTTTCCCAACACCACCATTTTCCTCCCCTCGGCCCTCTCACCAAAACCCCTATCATACCTCATCTGTTTACTCTGCCAATCGTCGACCACCGATACCTTTTGGGCCGTGACTCCTCAACCCTTTTCTTATCAATCTTGGCATTGGAAATCACCCATTTCACCAGCCATCACTTCTCCAACATCTACTCTCCAAAACCCCCCACCAACCTAACCTTGTTAGCCTGCCGATTGCTGTCCACCTCTCCTAGTGATTTTTTATCTCAAAAGGCACAAAAAAAAAAAAAATTTAAAATAATTTTTTTAATATATGCTTATATTATTAGAAGGCCCTAAAGTAACTCTTGCCTATGGTCACAAATGCTGTAGAGACGGCCCTGTTCGGCCCTCAAAATATCCCTAATTGTTTGTTGGACCTTATATAAAAGTTTTTATGATCATTTTAAGATAAAGATTTTTGTAGGGTGGAGTGAACAATATTGCATATATACTTGTTAGGCAATTTGCATGCATGAAGACAGACGTACGCACGTTTATATCTCTTCATATTATGCTCAATAGGATTATTCATGACATGATTATAAAACCCTTCTTTAATTTCATATTTGACAACAATTTAAAATTATTAATTTTATCTTCCCAAAGTAGATTATCACAACTATGTCGGCTAAACTGTCAATCCATTTCTTATGCCAGCTACTTAGATAAGGGTGTTCGATTCCGGGTACCCTGAACTTTTTGAAGAAATAGGAATGGGAACCGAAACCGACGGTTCCTTGAAATTTGGAACCAAAACCGAAACCGACGGTTCCGATTCCTAGGTACCCAGAACAAGAACTTGTAACAACGGTTCCGGTTCCGGTTCCGGTTCTGGTTCTGGGTACCCTGTAAAATTACTAACCCCCCAAAAGTTTTTAAAATGGCAAAAAAACCCTTAAAACCTTACAAATACCCCCCAACCTGGCACTTGTTAACAAAAATAAAATTACAAATTATAAATTCAAAATTACAAACTCCATTACTTTGTAAAGGTAGATTCTCAAAAGTCAAATCAATTTACTTTAATTGTTATGAAATATAAATATAAATGTATTCACATTACTTTTTCTACAAAGGTTTTATTAACCCCCCAAATCTTTAATTTTATTTTATATTAGTCTCAGTTCCTGGTTCTTGATTCCGGTTCCGGTTCCTCACTATAGGAATCGGAACCGGAACCACACAGTAACGGTTCCAAAAATTTGGAACCGGAACATACCCATTGACAACTAGTTCTGGGTAGGAACCAGAACCAAACCGAGACACCCCTAAAGACTAAGGATTAATTAAAAAATCTCAAAATTCAGAGGACGCCCCTGATATTTGCACCCCAAACATTATAAAATCAAAAGCTACATCAAAAAGTGGCTAGTTTTTTCAGCGAGATACTAAACCCATCTGAGAATTTTGAGAGCAACAAAAAGTTATCGAATATGCGAGAGCTGGTTAGAATTACAGTTTTGATCTTATTAATGTGTGGATCAGTTTCATTTTCTTTTCAAGAAGAAACCCAGTTCAAAATAGATGGCAAAGTAATAGAGCTGGAAGAATCAAACTTTGAATCAGCAATCTCAGCCTTTGACTTGATCTTGGTCGATTTTTAAGCTCCCTGGTGCGGCCACTGCAAGCGCCTCACTCCTCAGGTCCCTCCCTATCTTGTCTTTTCAATTTTTTACTAAATTGCCCCTTTAATGTTGGTGAATTTACCTGAAGTGTGATATTTTTTGTTATAAGTGTGAAATTGCGTTGTATTGAATATGTAAAAAGTGTGTTCTTTGAGTTATAAGTGTGGTATTACTATTGTTTGAACTGTTGGTTTTTGCATAGGGTGAATTAAGCTGCGTTTGATGTAGATTTTAAATATAGTTATTTTTCCGGAAATAAGGGATTCAAGAAATGATATGAAAAATGGAATTGGTTGAAATGGATTCAGATGTTTTCGTAATTTTAAACATAATTGCTTTTTTTCTGAATGCAGGTTAGGAAGCTGGATGGTCAACACACAAAAGAAACAACTATGTTATGCAGCCATCGGAATGGTCGCATTTTAACATCAGGAGGCCTTGTTGAATCCATTATCAATCATGGTAGTTTTACTCAATTATTATTTTTTTAATCAATTAATATAAATATATTCTATATATTGATTGTTTGATTATGATCTTTAATATGCTTTTGTCGTTTCACTATGTTATCTTTTTCGATGTGGCAAGGTCTGGATTGCTTCTAGTACTACATGAGAAAGAAGTGGAAGAGTACAGTCCAAGTAGAAATGATATCAATCCAAGTGCAAATGAATCTAGTAGGTTTCCTTCTGATTTGAATGAATTCCCTCAAGATTTTTTTTCGGATGAACAATGGATGTGATTGCCACAACTACGCAGATCCCTGTTGACAACGATGGAGCAGAATCTAGTGGAAGTGATTACTTTGATGAAGATGAAACCTAGTGAAAGTGACTACTTTGATGCAGATGAATTTGAACCTAGCTACTGAAAGTGATCTACTTTTAAAAATGATGAAGATGAATGACTTCCTAAAGAATTGAAATTCTTTTGAAGGGAGAAGCCTATATCTTGTAGTTTCATTTTATATATATATACTGGTAAGTCCATGTCTCAATTTCTAACAGAAATCTACCTTATTTTACTCTGAATTTCTATGAATAAGTGCAGAAGCTGAATGGCACTTTCTCGTAGGAAAAATAATATGTACCAATATAAGGATATGCTGCTTGGATTCATGAAACATTATTTTGGGAACAACAAAACTATAATCCTGAGTGGTTGTTTGTTAGCTTATATTTACTGAGTGGAGCTTTTGGAGACACCGCTCAATGGCTAAAGTTGGGGAGTTAAAGCTGCAAAGCTCTAGAGTCCTTGAGTTTTCCCAGATTCTACTATCTGACAAACTTTAGTGTAGAACCCAGTATCTTGTACTCTTAAATAAATGTAGCTGATTTCTTAAATCAATGTTTTAGAGAGCCTGGATGGCCTAACTTTGGTATCAGCTGGGGTGGACTGATGAGACCCTTGGCTTCTGGGAGAATTTCAAAGCACCTGCTAGTGAAGATTCAATTGTTTTATATCTTGACAGGACAGCCATCTCTCTCGAAGGCCAACTAAAGATGGTGAGCAATTATGGGAAAAATCATTTTGTTTCAGGCTGTTTTTCTTCTCCATTTTTTGTTTATTGCACAGTAATCAACTCCTCTGCAGTTCTTTTTCCTTTTTGTTGTCTAGGCTTGTATTATATATAATTTGGCTGTGACCATTAGTATACGCAAAAACAGAAAAGGCCATCACAGGGAAGCAGTGATCAATAAAATAGTTTGTTATAATGCATTCATTGTGCAAAAGATTTGCTTAACTTAGTTTTCAACTTTTAATTCATTAATATATAAATATATATAAATCTCTTCAGCATTACCTTGTGAACCTTCTGGGTGTACTTGCATTTTCTTGGACTGTGGCTATATTATTACGACTGAAGGTATTCATTAGAAGTCAGCAAGTTAAAATTCCTACATAAACGGTATTATATATAGTTGCCAAAATTAGGTGAGGTAGACGTATAATAGGAATATCAGGCTATGAAAACCTGCCATTAGGCAGATGCATTCAAGTCTACCATGCAGTGTTATTGGTTATGTTTATGGTTACTGTTGAAACTTGCCAGAGGGAAGGGTCTTTTTAGAAGGGAGAGGAAACAGCTTACACAGTCCACAACTGATATTTTCAGGTTAGTACCATTTACATTTTTCATTATAGTTCCTTCAATGGAGTTCTTGCTATCAGTATCCTCAAATTATTCCTAACATGTTGCATAAGTGTCATCCTTCCATGACAAGATGAAAGAAGAGGTAGCGGTTGGAATTATCACCATTGCATAAGTTGTATTCATCCTGAGTCTTCTTAGCAGTTGTAGCTCCTGAATGTTTATATGATCTGTTTACGACTCCGTTAATTGACAGGCATAGCCTCAATTTGAGCACATTCAAATAGGAGTAAAATTAGATATACATTCATTGAAATTCTGTATCCTTTAAGTTTTCACTGAAATTCTATCTAGGAGAATGTTGTTTCAACTATAATCTTAACTTGTAGGAGACAAAGAAATGGCAAAAGAAGTCCCCAACTCATGAAATGGAGATTGGAGAAGATAGAAGATCTGGATGAGTTTAGTTTGTGAACAAGTTAATAATTTGTTTTTCCTTTGCCTAACAAGGGAAGTGGGCCTACTCTATGTTTTAGCTGTTTTGTGCTGGAAATAATTTAGTTTAGGTTCTGCCTCTGAACAGGTTAGACCATGTGCCAATTTGTTGAATGATGAAATTTTGAGGCTTTGCTGCTTTGGCAAGCTGTTCATTGATGAGCATACTTTGGAGAATAGTAGCAGGTTGATTTTGTAAAATCTTTTCTCCATTTTTTTTGGGTTATTCTGGCCATTTAATTTATTACCTACTAGCAGGGTGTGGAGTCGCTTTCAGACGCAGAGCTTTGACAAGCCCGTAGAGATGGAGGATTGGATTATTTTCAGTGGATGGATGAAATTCGGCAACAGGTTAATGCTTAATCATATATGTCAATATATCTTTTATATTTACTAATAATGCAGCTCTGTATGGGAAGTCCCTTCCTAGTTTCCTCCATAAATGGTTGTTGCATCCAAAAGCCCACTTGTCAATTCCACAAGTCAGCCCTGAGCCTTTAACCTAATGATGACCTTGCATCTTTGCTCTATTAGTATTTGGATACGAAACAAGAAATATAGTAGTCTAATTGAACATATCACTGACAGTAAACTTAACTCTTGAAACTTCTGTAACTCTTCCTTTTGCTGAAAGCAAATTCTGGAAATTGTAATTGGTTTAAGGTTCTATTACATTTTTCTTTGCATATAATTTAGATGAAAAATTCATGTGTCTCGGCCTCTAATTCAGTATTTCTCTTTGCAGTTGCGTGATTGGCTGGATTTGTTCTTTCCATCACTCTGTACTATCTTTGCTTTTGATTCTTTCAAAGTTATGTTAGTCATTGTTTCAAGACACAGGATCTAATTAAAAATAGATGAGGAAGAACTTACATCCAGGTGTTGTCTGGTCAGAATCTGCAGCGGCAGTAGCGCCATTCCTACTGCTTAGTAAAAGTAGGGCAAGGAAATTCAAAGAATAATCAAACAAATTTGTATAGATCCTCAAATCTGCGCATTAACTTATATTAGATACACGAATTTGTGATATACATTTCAAACTATTTTGCAATGTCTAGTTTGAAATTTATATGTAATCAATGTAATTCTGCATTTCTTTTTTGGTAGCGAAGTGTGAAGGAATGTTGGATTTGAGCTTGCCCTAAAAATAACAACCATGAGTGCAATTAGTACAACACATCGGAACTACACAAATAATTGGATTGCAGTTATTAGCTCCATTTTGAAAGCTGGACCGGACCAATTGATCTAATCGGTTCGACTGGGACCCGGTTGTGTGTCTGGTTCGAACTAATATAAAACTCGCTATTAATTAAAAATCGTTTAAACCCGTTATCAAACCGGATGAACAGTGCGACCAACCCGGTCGAACCGGACCGCTTGGTAAACCAGGTCAATGTTTAAAATGAAAAAATCCTAAATCTGATTTATTTTTCACGCGACTCCACTTCTCCACTCTCTTCAATCTCTCAACTCTCCAAAATCGCAACTCCCTTCAATAACTGCATTCAGTCTCAATTCAATCTCTCAACCCCATCTCAACTCCACTCTCCCTTGGACTCTGCTTGACGACAGCAATACCTCCCTCACTGGATTTCGACGATAACGCACTTCCCTTCTCCCTTGCTCAACGACGGCAACACCTCCCTCGCTGGATTTTGGTGACGGCGCACCTCTCTTCTCCATTGCTCGATGACGACAACACCTCCCTCGTTGGATTTCAGCAGCGATGCACCTCCCTCGTTGAATTTCAACAGCGATGCACCTCTCTTCTCCTCCCTTCTCCCTTGCTCGACGAAGCCAGCATCTCACTTACTGGATTTTGATGACGACACACCTCCCTTCTCCCTTGCTCGACGACGCGGACGATTACGCCTCCCTCCTTTGCTAGAATCGATGACGACAACAATTCTCTAGCTCAAAATCGACGAAGATGACGCCTCTCTCTTTTGTAAAGATATTTCCACTCTTTTTTTTTTTTTGATGAATCTATTGCTTTTGATGGATAATTTGTTCACTGAATTTGTATGTAAAAAAACACTTGCATTAAAGGTTTTGTTATTAATTATTATGTATTTTATCATTTAATTTGTAATGGATGATGTTTGGATACTTAATTTGTAATGGATGATGTTTGGGGACTTTGGATTGTAGTTTGAGTTTGAATTGGGTAGTAATTATGTTGGTATTCTGAAATTTTCAAAAAAAAAAAAAGATATATTTTTTTTGGCTGTGCTAACATCACTGGTCCAACCGGCCAGTTGGAGCTAGGCCTGCAATCGAACCGAACATGAACGAACGGGTCCGTTCGAAAATCGTTCGATAAGCATGTTCGATTGTTCGTGTTCGTGTTCGTGTTCGAACGAACACAGGATGTGTGTTCGTGTTCGTTCGATTAACAAAAACTCGTTCATGTTCGTTTGCAACTCGTTCGTTTTCGTTCGACTACATGTTCGACTAACTTGTTCGTTCGACTAACTCTTTCGATAATTTGTAAATACTTGTTCGACTAACTCGTTCGATAATTCGTTCGATAATTTGTAAATACCTTTCGACTAACTCGTTCGATAATTTGTAATACCAAAATATTTTAAATGTTTACATATATATTTTGTACAACACCCATAAATTTAGTGGAATGAAAGTCTATTGTAATAAATGATCAATACATATGTGTGATTAATTTGTTTATATATTATATATATTTTGTATCAACACCCATAAATTATAGTGAAATGATGGCCTATTATATATATGATCAATCATATGTGTGATTAATTTGTTATATATAATGTGTAATTGTGTATATACAAAATTATTATCATACATATATTAATCATAGGTTAAATATGTTATGTAATTACCAAAATTAGAGGTTATCATATATTTATTATCATTACATAAATTATCCTAAATATTTTAAATGTTTCTATATATTTTGTATCAACACCCATAAATTTATAGTGGAATGAAAGTCTATTGTAATATTGATCAATATATACGTGTGATTAATTTGTTATACATACATACATATATTATATTGTATCAACACCCATAAATTCATAGTGAAATGTGACCTATTATAATAATGATCAATACATATGTGTGATTAATTTGTTATATATAATGTGTATTTGTGTATATACAAAATTATTACATACATATATTAATCATAGATTAAATATGTTAGAAATTACCAAAATTATGGTTTCTATATTTATTATCATTACATAAATTATCATAATATTTAAATGTTTACATATATATTTTGTATCAACACCCATAAATTTAGAGTAAAATGAAAATCTATTGTAAATATAATCAATACTATGTGTGA